TTCATCCGCAAATCCTTGACCAAGTCTTCGTTCATGATAATTGTCAGTAAAATATCCGAAACATATTTTGGGAACCGACCGTCCCGCCCGAACCATTTCTAGACAGCACAGGTGCACCATAACTCTTGAGAGTCTTTAATAAAAATAAGCGTTTAGCCGCTTTCTTTATAATATATTCTGCATTAGATTCCCATTTTGTCATCGTCCACCCAGAGGGCAGCAACTTAAACGATTTTTAAAACTCTTGCCATTGGCTGATCATCAATACACAGTGGTAGAATAGCAGTTTGGCGTTTCTTAAAATCAATAATCATTTCCTTGCACTTTTTGGCATTCATTTCCATTTTTTGGCAATCATTTCCAACCTCCGCAAACTGAACTACGTTATCTACATTATTTTGACCATTTCCACCAGGACTCCCAGATGAATGATTAGAGACACCTATTACCTCTGATATGGTAGCATCATCTATAAATATGATCACATCTTCATCTGAACATAGGTTTTAGCTATCATTTTCGGATGCAACAACTATAGGAAGCCGTTATTGATCTTTATAACAAATGGGCGGATGCCAATAGGATAAAACGTGGATTATATTTAGAGCATTAGCGTATGACAGGAATATCACCAGAGAAATTGTAACTGAAGTAATATTCCTGTGGTACGCCTATGGAGTTTTATTAGCTCTTAATGCCTGCACGTAGCAGCTACCCTGGTTTCTCAACCAGCTTCAGTGCGATTCGGCGTTCATCGATTTAATTAAATTAGTTATACCTGTCGCTGTACATAAATGCAAATACGAAATAAATTAAGCATACGCTCCGAATACAGCACGAGGGTGTAACAGGTCTTAAATTTTAAATTTTAATTTTTCTAAAATTTATAGTCTTGCTTATAATGGAATATTAAAATCTTTTGCATTTTTTCATTTTCCCAGAGCCAAGAATTTTCAGTAACTTCGCAGTGCTATTTGTAACCGACAAATTAAAGAAAGCATCAGTCAGTGATGTAAAGCCTGGACACTAATCATCGCGAGAAAATACGTCAGTACATGATGACGTGCATGTCATGACGTCAGCCCAAATTTCGCACAAGTTTCGAATTTTTCTCATCAAACACATGCAGTCACTATTTCATATTGATCTAAAAGAAAAGCAAACCTAAACGTTGTTAGATATTCAGCTAGCACAACGTAAGTAAAAAAAAGTATAAAAGTATAGTTGTTCACATACGGTCTTGACTTAAATATCTCAATTGATAACGATGTCAATCGCAGCAGTAAGTGACCTGGTAGATTCTTTATTTGCATGAAATGCCGTTACCGTCAAATAACTGATTAGACTTAAAGTCACCTTACTACTAATTCATTTTTGATAGTTTACCCTAGCTTGTTCATTTTTGTATTTACGATGAATATATTAAATCAAATTTCGTCGTCAAAGTTCTGAAAACTTGCAGACACACAGTAAATTTTTATGTTCAATACTGCGTCTAAACATTAACTGTCAAACTATTTAGTTATATTGCTAATCATAGACATAGTCTGTCGCATAGTAACTATCTTTATATTCAAATGTTATGCACTTGTCCACCTGACACCTTTCCGCCCCATTCCAGTATCCCTTTAAGGACCAAGAACTCGATAACGCCAATGACTAGGGCAACGATATTCTTTACCATAAACACTGCAGTTTCGTATTTCCGCCAAACGATGGCACGTAAAACCAAGAACGGAAGGTTAATAAAAAATATTCCCACTCCAACAACAAACATGGACGTCTCCCTTCTCATTTTCATCACCCCATTGGCCATGAACTTATTTCGAACCAATTCCAAAAACGATAGGAAGAAACAAATGCAGGCAAAGACGATAATGCATATTTCCGTTGCTTTGTTCAAATCAAAATCCGCTTCGTTTTGGGCCAGAAATATCTGCAACATTTTGATGCCATCGAAGATATTCAACGCGGCGAACAGAGACGACGCTAAGACAAGCTTTTGGTAGGATGGAGAAATCGTCAGCTGCAGAAGGAGAATTAAGAGCACTGGAGTAATACACAGCGTACCTATCAGTGCGTTGACACCAAGACCATCATCCTTAGTGAGCTTATGTGCGATCTTTCCAAAAATTGTAGCAACTGTGGCAACGTAAGCAAAGATATATAGTGCCCAAATAAACCAAACCCACCGAACTCTTTCGTCGTTGTCTGCGTACGGTGTCTTGCTACAAATGAACTTTGTGAAAATAAAAATTGCAGCGGGTAAAAACAGAAGAAACCCAAACAGTGTATATAACGACGTTCTTCACTATATTTCGTACCAAAAATGCTTCGAAAAGAGCAGCTTGCCCGAAGTAAAGTATAAAAAATGTAAACCATCCGAGACGAACGATTAGCGGCGATCTTTCTTCTCTCCGTGCTCTGCTTTGTTCCATCATAAAGCCAAATATTTGAGGAATAAACTCAGATTAAAATTAAAATGATACCTCAAAGAGCTTGATTAGAAAACCGCGATTGTGTGTTAATTGAATAGTTCTATGTAGCGTAGACAAATCAGTACATACAGTATGTTCTTTGTGGGGAAACCCCTTTGAAGGAAATAACCTTTGCGTATCAAAAACAGCTGCGTATTCCAGGACACGGTGGGAAATTCTTAGAATTATACAGCTCGGAGGAGCCTGCATTATATAAGGTCTGCAGTTTATGAATCTCGCTACGTCATGTTATTCTTGTTTTCTCATGTCGGAAGTTAAAATAAAACATTGCTTAACAAAATTATATTTGAAGCTGTGATATTCAGTCACTTCAATGCCTTGACTTGCGCAGAATCTGAGCTCGAACAGAAAAGATTGAACAACGTGGAGATAGCTAAAGCTCTAAAAGAACTCTGGGCCCTGTTACCTGGTACACCCCGTTTGGCAAATTGACATTTCGGGGCATTTCGACGTCGTTTCGAAGGAAGCATCCATGGAAAGTTGTTCTCTATGTTGTCATTCCCGTGGAAATATTTACCATGCTCAAGAAATTTTTTAATGAGGACAGTACACACACGAAACAGTACACATGCACACGAAAGGGGTATAATCTCGTTTACTTGTCGTCTTTGTCTGGCAAACTTGGTTTTAAAAGAAGGAGGAGGATTTTCACGAAAAACATTTATTAATGAGTCCGAATAGAAATAGTTTGGTATCATATCAAATTACAACAAAGAAATCTGTATCTTTGATTTCTTTTATGGTTTTTGGAATTACCATTGTAACTACAGTTCTAACTATAGTTCAGGCGAAACCTGTTCGCGGGCCAAAAGGGAAAAATTATTAGGTTGAATACGAAATCATCGTTGCCGCTAGTAAGAGGATATTTCATTTATATCAAGTTTACAAAGTTTGTCAACTTGTCGTTTCTAAGTGAGAAAGGTTCTATTTTCATTACGAGGATGTTATACCTGTATTGCTAACGATAACTTGATAATCGAAGATCCGGCGGAACTAGTCTAATCATGGCGAATGCGTAAGGCTACGATGTGCGGCCAGGAGTTACAACCATGGATGATTTTTCTCAACATTTCAGTAAAATGTACGTAAACTGGGAAAACTGGGAAAATACATGGTTTCAACAAACATTGGCGACTCAGCTGACGGGCTCAGAAGGCAGAAATAAGCCCGAGCACCACCCGCGCAAGTAAAACGGTCGGCATATTGCAAGGTGTTACACCACCACCACGGCACGAATATACTGCATGGTCTCACGAGATTTTCCTTTGCCGTAAGAGAGAGAGAAATTTATGTACTCAAAGTTACTGCCGGAGCATCCCAGTTTACTTCATCGCTGATTAACTGATTTGCCCGATGTAACTTGGAAATTTCCCAAAACGGAAATATCTAAATTTTGTCAGGGATATTTTAATTTTATTCAGTAAATAGCAAACTTAATTGCAGTATAGAAACATAAGCATGCGATGCCATTAGTTACTTTGTGGTGTGAAGAATTCAAACACGACATTTATGTGTGTGTGAGTAGCTAACATGCATCAATTACATCATCGCTACTTTGTTCGATGACATTCACTGCCACTCACAAAGAATTTTCTTTCTTCAAAATTGACCTCCCCAGTTTGTGTGTATAAATTTACCCATTTTGAAATCACATGATACTGGAGTGACGAAAATAAGCTACGGTATGCGCATGAGTTTAAAAAATGAAATTATATTTTGCATACAAGCTGGGAAGTCACTTCATTTTGAATGTCATCAAGCAAGGGAAAATCATCTTGTAAAAGAATCGCTTGAGAATGGCTATACACAGAGACTGTAAAAGATATCTCTCAACAAGATCTTTAGATTTTTATATTCGCTTTTTGGGTCAATAATTTTTTTTATTTAAATCCTTAAACGACACTCGACATGTCAGAATGTAAATCAATAAAATTAATTAAAACGAGGTCAAGGCCGTTAAAGGTTTGAGAATTGATAATAACGGTTAATGTGTCTTTATTAAAATTCTGTCCAACTAGGAAAGGAACTTTATGTATTATATTTAATGCGGAAGAATAAACAGTGAGCAATATACGATATGTATATCAGTACTCGGCGTTCAGGAATCACAAAACAACAACAGATTTTCTGTGGTCGAACTAAAATGTTTCCCTTTCCTTTACTCTAGTCTAATCTTTAATATGTAAAGTATATAATTATATACCAATCCAAAAGTTTCGCTAAATTGGTAAATCGATTCGCATAGAATGTATGGTCATGCACAATGATTTAATTCCTCTTCCTGTCTTTGCATGACTATTAACTTGATTTTTTATCTATATACTCTGTTCTATGTATACATGCGTATACTTCTTATAAATGTGAAATTCATATTAGCCGGCATCTGTACATACACACCATGTAGTATTCGAGTCAGTAAATCAGTAATGTTAATCAATATATATATATAATTATACATATGGCAGACCATGCACGCATAGCTAATTCGCTATATGACCTTACCTCTTTTTGCAGTTCACTGGGTTTCACCATCATACCAACTCAGTTGTGTGAAGTCTACGGAATCTTTTATAAATCTTTCTTCTTTAGCGTAAGCTCGACTTTCGTCACTGTATATGCCAGGCCGTGATCAGGAAGACTCATCAACACTTGAAATTTCTATGCGTGGGCTTCGCAAAGCTTTTGTCAATTCAGCTGAGGACACGCATTCATTCTTTGTTTTAGTGTCATTTATATTCTATTGCTCAACTTCGGCGATAATCATTATCACGGAAATTGGAATTTGAAAAAACGCAAGGTCTTCAGCTCATGTAATAGCTCTCATGTGCGGTGGGCATTTGATTCGCCAATGCTAATAAATTCGAGTTACAATTACGACTAGGAGATTGTTTGACTTTCGTTTAAATATTTGCTGCCCTAAAGACTATTTCAAACGACGAACTTTCCGTGTGTCAAATGGCACGCAAATGAACTCAAACAAAGACTTTACTTAAATCACTTTACTTTAATTAACATTAGGTTAGGAACATGAAACGTTCGACTACAGATTCAAGGTACACTTCAGCTCTACTTGCAATCACATTGGTAGATTGTAAAATTGTAAAAGTATTCTTCAGAATTGAATAACCATGCAATAGCAATAAAACACACCAAATTATCAACAGAAAACGACCCTATCTACCTAATCCTCGATTTCATAAGTATCATTTACATGATTCTAAATTTTTATGTGTGTATACGTACGTTGCAAAAAACGCGACATTGGAAAACAGCCCCTTCCAAATCTGACACTGGATTTGTGAAATTGTCCTTATAAGCTTTTTTCTCCTTATATATCTATAGCCTAGCCAGAGTCAGGTAGAAAAGCATACCCGAGCGTACCCGAGTGAGAATTTTAGCAAATGATAACCATGTTTAATATATAGAAACTAAAAAATTTAGGGAGACTGAAAACCTCATACGGGAGAGGTCCCACCATAGACAATCCAAAAGACAGCGTGTATCCAGTGGCGTACGGGGGCCGATAATTGGGGGGGGCACATATTCATATATTCATGTTGTTCAAGATTAATTCTTTTTTCATGTCGAAGTAACTACACCTGCTCTATCTCAGATTCCTGTCAGAATGAGCCATCGCCCTACGAAGAAGTCAAATGGCATAGTGGTAAACCATAAAGTTTTGAAACGAATCCTCCATAAGAAATCATATATAATATACCATGCAGTAACCAGTTATCCTATCAGCTAATGTTAGATCACTCGTACTGAAAGTAGACGAGATTGCACAAAATGCTGAACTAAATAATGTTAACGTAATTTGTGCAACTGAAACCTGGTCATCTTCAGATATTCCTGACTTTTCGATTGCTATCCCTGGATATAACCTATTTTGAAAAGATCGTGCGGGTTCAAGGGGAGGTGGTGTCAGGTGTGTGTATTTATTTAAACAATACATTTCCCTATAAAAGACTTAAACAATGTGATAAAGATGGAATTATGGATATCAATAAGACCTTATTCCTTACCGAGAAATATTACATCGATAATACTCTCTGTAATCTACCACACGACTTTGAATAGTGAACTGAGAATATCATTCTCCGACAACATATGCAACGTAATCTCGATAACTTATTGGCTAATGCACTGCTAGTAATTACTGGAGATTTTAACCATACCTCAACTGCAGTGAAAGCGAAGCGCCAGACTGACTAGGAAACGCTAGACTGCTTTCCAGAAGAATGGTAAGGAATCATCTAGTTACGGGTATTGGAAGAATAAAACCCAAAAGGAAATTAAATCGGTCAAGCATTACTATACACATAGTGGCAGATTTAAGTCAGACTAACCCTCGAAAATGGTGGAGTCAGATAAAAAAGCTTATGGGACAAGATATCCAACAGGAGTGGGACTATCAATTTCTTAGCGACAATGAAAATGTTAAGATACTAGCAGCCAAAAAATTTTGTGACAAAATTAATGACTATATACTTCTTAAGTATAACTGATAATTTTTCACCGTTATCCCCATCATTACCTTCTTGCTCAACTCAGCGTGCATGTGCCAAATGAATTCCTTGTCTTTGAAGCAGAGGTTTATCGATCGCTTTCGTCCTTACAAGTTAACAAATCTATCGGCCCTGATGAGATCCCACATAGAGTGCTAAAAGAATTTGCAGCCGAACTTTCACTGGTTATAAAGGATATATTATATAATCAGTTGATCAGGGAAGCACATTACTGAATTATTAAAATGTTCGCTTATAACGCCTATATACCAACGGTGATTCCACCACAATCAATTGAAGATGACCTACGTCCAATATCATTAACATGTAATTTGGCAAAAGGAAAAATCAGTTTGCTTGCAAGAGTCACTCTATTACAGATGCATTTTTTTTTGCTACAACCCGTTTATAAGGCCCTTGATGGTGAAATTAAATGCCTGTGCCCGATTTTTCCTTGCTGACTTTAGCAAAGGTTTCGATCGCATTGACCACCACGTGCTTATGAAGGAGTTAGCAAAACTAAATATTCATCCTGTATTACTTAATTGGATTTTGGCTTTCCTCTCTGATAAAAAACAAGCCGTCAGAATTGATAGAATGTTATCAGAATGGAATCGTCCAATGGTGGCATATCTCAGGGAACTAAACTTAGTGTTATCCTTTTCTCAGTTATGACGAATAATTTAATATCTGGTTGGCATTTTAGATCAAAATATGTCGATGATACTGCCGCGTTAGAGATCGTCCCCAGAAATTTAATTAATCAGTTACCTGAATCACATGGGAGACGAAATATATCAATTTGCAATCAGCATTGCCACTGTCATTGGGATATGCTTGTATCTTTTTGGCTTAGAGACGATCACTCACTTCAGTCCGATCTCTTAGTTTAGAGTGCTCAATTTCCGCTATTATCGTGATAATTGGAATTTTAAAAATTTGCTGACTGAGAACACTGTTTGCGATTTTAAACTATATGTAGTTATAGTTTCTCAAAACTTTAAGTTTGTAATGAATATTTATACATTTGAATCGAAGCTGGATATTTCACGATATTTGTATCACAGCTAATTCAATAGAGTATGTCCTTTTAATTATTAGCTTTTTATATAACCTAAGCCTTATTATTGTTAGGAAATTGCCTTCAGAGCAAGTGGATCTTCCGTTGTGAGTCATCTCTTTCATCGTTCCGAAATAATCAAGGTCAAGGAGAAAACATTTGCACGTGAGTTTGGTTCCTTGGCTTTTCGCAACAGTTATCGCTCCAGGTATATTACAGTTCACTGCGTCTCAAGTGCTTGCATATCAAATCACACTACCTAGGAAAGTTACCGACAGTACAGGCCATGGCTTTTATAAAAAGGCAACGAGGCGAAGAGATAAGTGGCGTCTGTGGCGATGAATATTGCATGTTTATGTCACGCGACAGAACATAGTCTGCATCAGTCCATAGTCGCGCTTTTACGTTCTACTGCAGAGCATATCAAAAGGATTATGAGCGTTAAAAATAACTTTAAGACGCCAGGAACTGGCATGGATGTTTGGGGTAAACAAAGACTAGAACTTGGAATATTGTTGCGAGATAAAGTCTTGAACGAGCTCAACATTCCTTGGGTTGTGGAAAACGGGACTTTGTTGGGAGCATATCGAAGTGGGAAGTTCCTTCCACACGATGACGATTTTGACATCGCGTTGTTTTTGGAATCAAATCCCTCAGATATTGTACCTGATATCCTAAATAAGTTAAAGCAGTTGCTCCCTGTACCCTACGAAGCACGCGATGTCTCCACTTACGCTCAAAAGATTGAAGTGTATGACCCAACTTACGGCAGTTTCAATTTATGTGGACCACAATACAATGGTGCCGATTTCTACTATGTTTGCATTGACCTGCAGTTCTATCAACGATTTGATAACATCTATCGCTGTTTATATTTCATTCAGGCAAATGTAGTCGAAATTCCCGTGGAAATGCTCTTTCCATTGCGCTCTATCTCGCTGGAATCACAAACATTTCAAGCACCAAATGATGTCGAGAACTATTTGAAATGTCAGTACGGAAGCATATCGCCAACTGCTAAGTTCAACCCGTCTACTGGATTGTATGAAGATTTAATATGAAATAGACTTGTACTATTAAAATCAATTGCATATTTGCTTAGCACATTTACGAGTGTAAAGTTAGAAGCTAAATATTTTACTAAAACGAAAAGAGTTCGCATTAATTTTAGTACAATTAGGCCGTATGTGGTTGTAATAGTAAATATCATGCATATAGTTGTTGCAATATTATAATTATCTTGTTACAATTCGGTTGAGGAATGTATAATTACGGATTCAACCTCGTACCCAGGGTCTTTTTATCGTCGTCGCAAGTGTGTTTTGGTGCGAAATATACTAGTATTTATCTACGTCACAGTTTGGTCTCCCACGTACGGTGGCCCACAGGCATCACTGCACACAAAATATCAAATATCGATTTCAAACTCAAAAAACAAACTCAAAAAATAAGGATGTCACAACGGATTCGCTACTCACAATTCAAAATTGTCAACTCACAAATTAGATTCGCTTTTCGCAACTCACAATTCAAAATTGTCAACTCACAAATTAGATTCCCGACTCACAACTAAATTCATTGCATAAATACTTGAAAAGTTGATTTCCATAATCTCTGCAGTTTTGCGCCATATAGCCGTTCACAATGATGACGTGCCTCTAGTAGCGTTAAACACAGCTTGAACGGAGGTCAGGTCACGCTAGAACTAATAAAGGTGACGCTGAATACGTCATATTTAACCCATACGAGCATTATATAAACATTTGCTCGCGATTATATATTAGAAAGAGAGTCGGTTATATTCTCCATTACCGTCCGCTTCACTGAAATATGATATGTTAAGGGCCATAGGTACCTACACGCCCATTTATGCGGTCCAACGTTACAATCCTTACACCTAGCTCTTCACATTTCCCTTCACCTCCTCAGGCCTCAATAATACTCATTAGACTTCTTTACATCTTCTTAGATCTCATAGCACTTTTATACACCTGGTTAGGCCTCCTAATTAGTGCTTCTAACCCCTACACGTTTTGCACCTCCTGAGGCTTCTTAAGCCTCCTTAGGGACGATCATGATACCATGATATCAGA